TTTGTTGTCTTCTGGAAGACTGGCCGTGAAGAAGAGTAAAACAGGCCTTCTGAAAGTTGAAATTGCCTGTAAAACTGCCGTTTTTTATAAGATTTGCCCTTGAGACGAAGATGAAATACGTACGCAACCACAACAAAAGTCTCCAGACCACTAATGGTACCACCAGTCAAACTAGAAATAGGACGACGACGCGATGTGACGACCCACGAGGACAACGCAAGTAATAGTAATCACAGTAGAGCACACTAGCCCGAAACCACTACTAAGTGAAGTCTGTCTATTGGGAGTAGTGGAAAACGATGGCAATAATGAGTCATGTGTACAACCTCAACAAGAGGTGTACAAATGTAAAAGTAAGGATGAAGACAACAGTACCGTTTGACACCGTCTAAATCTAAAGACGAGTGTACCAAAGAAGACAACAGGACCCGCGACGTCAAGAAAGAGAGACGTAAAGTCCCAGACCGTGACGAATGACCCTCAGTCGTTATGGACTGGTCCTTCGGTTCCACGATTACAGTAGGTAGAGACTGTAACCCCTTAAGGTTGGCTCTGAGAGTCGTGAAATGGAAGTCGAGTCGGTTTGCACCGAGCAGAAGTCATACAACAGGGATCAGACGTGTAATGTATTTTTGCAACTTGACACTTTCCATGTGCATGTTAACGAACAAAAAAGAGTCGCGTACCACAAAGATAATGCGACGTAATGTAACGTACTTTAAACGACTGAAAAATAGGTTCACTGTAATGTATTCTTATGGGATCCTGTACCTGGATGTCCTCGTTAAAACCGAATTCATAAGGATGTATCGTGTGAAGTTGCACAACAGACGTCCCCGACCCCTATGAATGGCAACGAGAGTGTAAAAAATACCTTTACTTTGGAAAGAACGTGCGCTGATAACAATATGTCACATATGACATGGTCCCAAGGATGCCAGTAAATTTTGGGACCTTTTCAAGTACCTAAGTTTACGTTAAGGCCGGGACTTTTTCAATATCTTTTGTTATAAAAAGGTCCCAAAACCTTGTTTGCAGTACCTTTACTTGGTATCAACGGTAGTTTAGTATCTAAATATAAAATAGATAGCGGTTTATCATTATGTATTGCTATTATTTATGACATATCCATTACTTTGCGAAATTTTTACCGTAATTGACAGCCTCCTATAAAACGACCCTCTGCCAAAAAATGTTAGTGCGGGAGATCAGATGTCACAAATCAGACATCCTCGATCATTCCGGATGATAAACCTAAACCAAACATCTATCCGTGTTGTACAAAATATACGTTCTGGAATAAAAGGTCGAATGGGCATTTTATTTTTACAAAACCACCATGGCCTGACTCTTTCCATTAAAAACAACCAGTACCTTTTAATCCAGTTCCACTACCTTTTAGTAACCACTTTTCACAGATACTTGGGACCTGACATGTGATACCACGGAGACGCGTCACCCTACCTTACCTTCTAACCAATATAACAAAACACCGAATAAAGAATTTGTAGGTCAGTAGATATGAACTACACAGGGTTTTTGTATCTCTACTCCACACGGCGGACCACAAGTATCCCAACCATGACTGAGTCTAAATATCTCAACATGGGTATTTTCCCCACTATACTAGGTTTGCACACAACCTAAGTTTAAATTGGTAATTTCCACACTACCCATTGAAGTGAAGTCTTTGGCGTGAAAAACAAATAAAGGTACCTTACGAGAAGACGAGCTATCGTTACTTATAAATTTACGAAACTGTATTTATATTTTTTACAGTAGACGCCCTCGCACCTCGACATTTTTCGTGCTGGTTAAGTAGACTCGGGCCGGGCCGATTTTATTGGACCTACCGGATGGACGGACAGTCGGAAGGTAGACACGTGTGATATAGAGCACGGAGTAAACCAGTACACGTGTAAGCACACACAACCGTCCTGTCCCGAGACATTCCTTCAGACTTCCTCTCCGCTAAAAGGCCAACACAGAAAGTAAGATCGCGGAGCTCAACCTAAAGAGGTAAGATGCGATGTGGTGGAAATTACAACGATACCTGCTCAACGTCAACCGAAAGTCCTTCGACTTAATCTCGAGAGATGATAAATTGCCCAACGAAAGTCGAGACGTAGACCAAAGAAAAACAGGTATCGAACTACCGAACAGGAG